ATACGAAGTATACGAAGTTATACGACACGAACCACCGAGGTAATTTTCAAAGCCGAACCCTCACGAAAAAAAGATTCTGGTCACGGCTTGGTGGTCATCGGCTGGTGTGATCCACTATAACTTTTTATCACCAGGCCAAACCATCACAGCAGAACCCTACTGTGAAGAAATCGACGAAATGTACCGAAAATTTTGTCAGCTGCAGCCAACACTTATCAAAAGAAAGGGTCCGATTCCTTTGCATGACAACGCCCGCCCACACGTTTCACAAATCACTATCCATAAATTGAACGAATTGGGGGTTGAAGTTCTACCTCACCGCCATATTCTCCAGACCTTTCACCAACCGACTATCCCTTTTCAAACATTTTCAGAACTTCCTTGCTGGAAAATACTTCATCAATCAGGACCAGGCAAAAAAGCCTTCGTGGATTTCGTGAATTTTCGACCACCCAGTTTTTTACTTTGATGGGATTTCTCGACTGCTGTCACATTGGCAAAAGTGTGCTGATTCGAATGGTGCCTATTTCGATTAAATCCGATGAGTATTAAAAAAGTTACGATCGTTTAAAGTGAAACACCCAAAACGCTGAGAACTTTCCGGACAACCTAATAATTCATACGTCAGGCTGCAATAAAAGGTCCACCCACCACATTGTGCACAAAAGAATTCAGAAGCCGTGACAAGTGTTTCACGGCGGTCGTTAATTTGACCGCAGCACCCAAGCCTTCAGCTGTCGAAACCGCAAAGCATTGCATTCGGCCGTACTCTTTCCAGGCTAAAAGAAAATGTGGTGTCTAGGGCGAGTCCCATAACGTACTGAATAGTGAACTATACATTTTATGACGTATTCTTCTGTCATTATTCAGAAACTCCTTGAGATCTGTGAAAGTGGGAGGATCTGTGGTGTATTCAACGTGCACGCTGTCATCTATTCAGAACGAAGCTGTAGTTGAAAATGCTGTTGCTATTGCCGAACAGAAATTTGGATTAAGGGTAATGCTTTTAGGGTGTTGGTGAACATATTGCTTCTGCTATTTCACTTTCTATACGGCTATTTTTTTTGTTTGCAGGTCGTCGAGGAGTCGCTTTCGCAGTTGGTCACTCATCTGACTTCATCGGGTCTGTATCGTTTTTCTGATCAGTGCCAAACCGGGGCTCTAGTACTGCCCTTCCTACCGTCAAATTTTGGGCCTATGTATATATGTAAATTGACTAGACTTATATAAAGCAGGGAACGATCTCCAAATCACATCGTGTTGTTACATCGTCTTTACATAGTTTTAATTAGTAACGGAACTCGTCTTCCTACTTTTCTTGTGAGCTGACACATGTTGCACCTGTCCGAAGCGTCTCGTCTCGTCTTACTTCAGTCGATTAATTCACAATCACTTCCTGCTTCCTTCCATTCTCTCGGTCCAAAGGCAGACTGTGCCCTCACATCCGCGGATCCTGTTCCTTGCCGTGGGTGGGGTAAATGAGTCCGCTGCTGCGGTTGCGTGCCTCCTTCTCCCTCAAAAATGCACGGGAACGACGGTGAAGGATAGCGATACCCAGGAGCCGTCCCCTCGTACTCCGCTCGTGCTACTAAACGGTCAGTTTCAAGCCTATGGCCAGACGCGCTATTTGTCTGCGCCCTTTCACTTCAGTTGTTCGCTACCACTAAAAACGTGTTCCGCTGCAGGTTCTTGGTATAGGCGCAGGTGCTGCACCTTCAGGAGAGCGCGTGCCGAGGATGAAGTCTACTCAGGTACTTCTACCACTCGTTCATGCACTTCTCAGGAGAGAAGGTTGCACGCTACATATTGCAGTTGCGGACTCATTCGCCTTGCATATGGCAAGGACCGTTCTTGGGGGTGAGTCATAGTGCGTCTTTGAGTGCACAACATCTGACGCGACGGTCTGTACTGTATTATCGAAGAGCAAATATATCCACTGCGGAATTCCTCCAAAATAAGGCCACTTTGTCTCTAAATAGGTTCTGCCCCTCTACTACACTCACTCACATCTTTGAGTACTGTAGTTGTGGAAGCCTTTTCTTGACCATGAGTGAGAAGCTACCAAAACGTCGGTTTTGTACATTGAAGAAATCGCCCGCACTTAGTTGGCCATATTTG